TTTGTGCTGGAAGTCTGTATCTTGACAATTTTAATAAATCAGCTGGAACTGATAGAAACTCGCATCGCCAATAGTCTCTCTGGAAGTCAAGCTGGAGGTCCCGTTGTCGCAGCGCATTCGGTGGCGAGGCCGTTGTGTGCGTGATGGGGGTGGCAGAAGAGAATTCTACATCCACAGGGGTTAGGCTGAAAAGCGTTCAATTGGCAGGCGGATTTCTTTTCCCTCTTCCTCCCACTAGTTGTGAAAGACGGGGGAAGAGTATTATTCTTTCGCTCTGCCTTCCCTTTCCATCCTCCCCTCCCCATTTCCTTTCTCACCTCCTCCTCCTCTCCCCACCCACCCCGGCAGGCAGGGCGGCGGGCGGGCGGGCGGGCCGCGCGGAGGCACTGGAAGCTGGCCGGGAGGGGCGGCCATCTCGCGCGCTCGGGGTCCGGCGCTCGCCGCGGCTTGTGCGTTCTCCGTGGCGGCCGCGTACCGGCTGTGCATCGCGGTGACAGCCGCCCCGGCCCGGGAGCACTCGGGGCGCTCCTGTCCCCACCTCTCCTCAGGGGGTGGAGGCGGCCGTTTCTAGTTTTGAATTTTTCCCTTTTTTTTTTTTCTTTTTTTTTTTTAAGGCTGCATCTTCGCGTGTGCGCAGAGGTAGATGCTGGGGCGGACGCGGCTTCAGTTTTTGACCTGTAGCGGTGAAGGCGAGAGGGAAGGGAGGACAGGGGAGAAGTCGTCGGTGTCTGTCTCTTCCTCGCCCCCGGGGCTCTGGAGCTGTGGGAGAGCTCAGCCCTGCTGAGGGATGGGGGACGGCTCGGGGCCACAGGAGCACGGGGCGCAGCGGGACTGCGGCTGCGAGCAGCAGGGAGGACGCGGCAGGTTGGCCGAGGGCAGCCCGGGGAACATGCACAGACACCGTGTGCACCCGAGCCGAGGCCTCCGGTGTGCCAGAGCAGTCCGCGCCGCCGGTTTGGGGGCGAAGGCACGGGGTGGCCAAGGGCGCCTGGGCGGCCGCCGGGGACGCAAAGGCAGAGGCCCTCCACTCCGCGTGCCAGCGCCTGGGTTTCCTGGCCTCGCCGCCGCGTGCGCCTGGGCGCACCCCGCCGCGGGCCCTGGAGACGCGGGGTGGGCCGGGGAGCCTCCGGGCGGGAGGGAAGAAAGGGAACCCCGGGAGAAGGCGGCTGCGCGTGCACCCGCGCCCCGCGGGCCCTCCCCACGCTCTCGACGCGCGCCGGCTCTGGGGCTGCCCCGGAACCAGCCTCCCGGCGGCTGCGAACCACAAAGGTGGCTGGCTGGGCATCTTGATGTGCTCCTGCAGCAGCCTCCTTGGGGCTTGGGCGGCGACGCGGGCGCGACTCTTACGCGTGCGCTCCCTGCTCACTGGGGACCGTCTGCCCGTCCACACCCCGCCCGCGTTTTTCCAGCCCAGCCTGTGTCCCCGAGCCTTGCGGCAGGCCCCGGCTGGCAAGCGCGGCCGGGCGCGCTCCAGTCCCCCTTCGGTTCCTTCACCGCCTCTCTCCCGGGGGGGGGCGCGGGCGGAGGGAGGCGGGGAGGCCGGTGGGGGCCCCGCGCGCCAGCCACGGAGCTCAGCCTCCCCGGGCTGCGGCGCCCGCCGTGGAGGAGGCTCTCAGTGGCTAATTGAAACTCGGCGCACGATCACCAGGGCTCTTCTGCCTACTGAAACGGTCTACCGAGCCTTGGCCTTCCATTTTTACTGAGATTTGGCGAGACCCGTGCGAGCGTCCGCACGGTGACCGGAGCTGCTAGGCCAAGGGGGCCCGGGCGCCCTTCCTGCCTCCCCCGCCCCCTCCCCTGCGATCCGGGCTGCCCCGCCCCCTCCTGCTCGGGGCGAGCCTCCGCCCAGCCCCCACCCCGGACGCGAAGCCAGCGAGCTTCTGCTGCGGGAGGACGGATTTCTCCTCTGTGGCTTTTCCTTTGGAGGAACCATCAGATTTCAGTAGTTGACTTGGGAAGCGAAAGGGCTGATGGTGTGAACAAGGTTCTCAATGTGGAACTGGGTTTCTGGAGCTGTTTACTTCACGCCCCTCCCCCCAGTGACAGACTAATGTAGTCATTGGTCGGACACGTATCTCGGCCACGAATAATTGAGCCGGCGGTTTACAGTTGACAGTTGCTCTGTGCTGGCGAGGTTACGTGGCGGCCCCCGACTGCCGTTCTAAAACTTGCTGAAAACAAAACCCGTTTGTTCTATGTATTTCGAAAACCTGAAAACGTTGCATGTGTTTTATGTTGTGACCATGGATGAATCTTGGACATTTTCTGGGGTGAGGTAGAAATTTTAAATAAATTAGTAAAGTAATTTGGCCTCGGAATGGAAAAAGATAGTCATGATTTTTTAAAAAGCCACGTGGCCTAACTTCTTGATAAAAAATGAGAGAAAAGTAGTTGGTTGGCGATCTAAACTAAAAACCTGTTAGAACTCAGGACAGGCGCTTCAATGTGCTTTTAAACCATACTTAGGGCTGTTTTGATGAATGCATTGTGAAAATCATCCTTAATGAATTCTTTATTGAATGTCTAAAACATAATATAATATTAATACACAAGGTATTCTTGCCACTGGATAGTCTTCAATAAAAGTTTAATTGATTTTTTTTTTTTTTTTTTTTGTCTCTTAAGTAAGTCTTATTTTAAACTAAGCATTGACAGAATATCTTAAAATGGTAACAGGGGGGTGGGGGTGGGTGTTGTGTGCGCGGCAGCCTAGCCAGTGGGTGTCCTGCTGTTTATAACTAGTTCACGGACTCTGATGGCATTTTGGTAAGATTTCCATCTTTAAGAACTTGAACCAGCATTCTCTTATTGATCCTTTAAACTGTGGAAATAATTTCCAGTTCTTACACTCTGATGCATCCCTTTTATTAAAAAAAAAACAATGCTAATAAAAGGCAGTGTACTTAAACTGTGCTTTGCAAATATTATGTATGTTATGAATGACTACAGACACTGGGCAAATTATTTGTAGAACGATTATCCTTTAGCTAGAAAAAAAATCATTACAGCTCTTTTGGGCAGAGATGTTTCTTTTTAATGTTAATCGAGGGGAAGTGATTTAAATATGCATGTATGTAGCAGTCAGGATGATTTAGTTGTTTTTTCTTGAAAGAAAAAAGACTCAAAAGGCAAGACTTATTTTTCTCTTCTCTGGGAATTGAAACCATAATCATCTGTTACTGGTACAGTACAAGAAATTTACATTTGTTTTTCACTTCAGAATTTAAATGACTTTTGCTCAAGGAATCTGAGAAATGAAGCAAATAAGTTGCTCTATTTTAAAGTAGTCATTCAATATAAATATATTATATCGACCTTAACTTTTTTATTCTCTGATATGATTAATAATATGTATATTCTTACTTTTCTTCTAATGGGCATATGTATCCTTGTGGACACTTTGGAGAGAGGTTTTCTTCACTC